ACAAGACTGGGAGTGGTAAAGTTACAAGACTGGGAGTGGTAAAGTCACAAGACTGGGAGTGGTAAAGTCCCAAGACTGGGAGTGGTAAAGTCACAAGACTGGGAGTGGTAAAGTTACAGGACTGAGAGTGGTAAAGTCACAAGACTGGGAGTGGTAAAGTTACAAGACTGGGAGTGGTAAATCACAGGACTGAGAGTGGTAAAGTCACAAGACTGGGAGTGGTAAAGTCAGAAGACTGAGAGTGGTAAAGTTACAAGACTGGGAGTGGTAAAGTCACAGGACTGAGAGTGGTAAAGTCACAGGACTGAGAGTGGTAAAGTCCCAAGACTGGGAGTGGTAAAGTCACAAGACTGGGAGTGGTAAAGTCACAAGACTGGGAGTGGTAAATTCACAAGACCGGGAGTGGTAAAGTCACAAGATTGGGAGTGGTAAAGTCCCAAGACTGGGAGTGGTAAAGTCACACACGACTGGGAGTGGTAAAGTCACACACGACTGGGAGTGGTAAAGTCACAAGACTGGGAGTGGTAAATTCACAGGACTGGGAGTGGTAAAGTCACAGGACTGAGAGTGGTAAAGTCACAGGACTGGGAGTGGTAAAGTCACAAGACTGGGAGTGGTAAAGTCACAAGACTGGGAGTGGTAAAGTCACAAGACTGGGAGTGGTAAAGTCACAGGACTGGGAGTGGTAAAGTTACAAGACTGGGAGTGGTAAAGTCACAGGACTGAGAGTGGTAAAGTCACAGGACTGGGAGTGGTAAAGTCACAAGACTGGGAGTGGTAAAGTCACAAGACTGGGAGTGGTAAAGTCACAAGACTGGGAGTGGTAAAGTTACAAGACTGGGAGTGGTAAAGTCCCAAGACTGGGAGTGGTAAAGTCACAAGACTGGGAGTGGTAAAGTTACAGGACTGAGAGTGGTAAAGTCACAAGACTGGGAGTGGTAAAGTTACAAGACTGGGAGTGGTAAAGTCACAGGACTGAGAGTGGTAAAGTCACAAGACTGGGAGTGGTAAAGTCAGAAGATTTGTAATCAACATAAAAATGTCCTATGCGGTGCTGATCACACCGGACTACGATGCTGTTTGTGCACTTTGTGGTGGGAAAAAGTCCTACAGAGTTGCAATCAGACTCAATACCAGCGACTGCAAGGAGTGTTGAATGCCCTACATTCGAAGATAAGTTCGGCACCGAACCAAGTGAAATCATCGCGTTATTGCAGGTCAACCGTCACAACATGATTTGGAATCATTTGTAGGCCCGAGCTTCTTCTTTTCATAAATGAATATTAGTTCCTTACATCATGCATTGCGCTACAGAAATGCATGATGTTGTAATTTTTATTTTAAGTAGTTATTGTAGCCACTTCAAATTTCAGTTAGCATATGCTAACTTAGCTACTGGCGAGTGCTAACATAGAATAGTTGAAAACATAGGACAAGCAAAATTCTGGAAGATGACTCAAATCACAACCAAGTCTTTTGAAACTTTGATTTTTAAATCATGCATAGCTTTAGCGATTGCAAGAAGAATATTTTTTCGCTGAGTTTGCAAATAAAATTTTGGGGCTGTGGCTGTTATTCTATCGAAGTCACTCAGAAATTTAACTCACGACACTAAGCACACGATTTAACGCCATCTTCAATCAAAGCTTGACCTGGTTGCTAAGGTGCATGAATCGTTGTTTCACATGATCTTGCATTTTGCGGAACAGGGTTTATTGTCAAGTGAGTGCATTATGGACACAACATTAACTGCGTATAAGCAGAAGAAAAACTAGCTGATAGGGAGGCATGCAAAGGATGCTGGACCCCCCCCCTCCCCAAAAAAAAACCAACTGAAGTAAGGATTCTCATGGAAGAAAGAAAGGGAATTATGTATTGAACAGTACGCATTAAGCTAATTAATCATGCACATATATAAAATCTTGCAATTGTTCTAATTATATGACTTAAGTTTCATGTGAATCTGAGCACCAGTTCTTGCCATATCATTGAAAGAAAATTACTGGTTAAACGGAAATGAATCTCTAATTCTTCAGATATCGCGTTCACAAATTTGCTGCAGACAGGCGGACAGACAAAGACAGCACCACGTCATAAGCACCTGTTGACTGTCAACAAGAGCTAAACATGTATGTTTTAAGGTAAATGCATTTTTATATGTTTTACATAAGTTTTGCATGCATAGGAAACTGACCAATGCAATCATATTGTACTACTACCCAGGATTGAAATTTTTGGAATTTTTTTTTGCCCTGAGTCAGGTTTTTGCGCTTTTATGACAAATTATTAACCCTTGCACGTGTATTTAATATTAATATGATACTTCCTACCTTCATTGTTGTCATCTATGTCACTACTGCCACAACTTGCATCAGTTTCTATTTCCATGTTTTCTTCTGTACTGCTTTCTATGGTATTCTACAATAATATACAACCAACCAGTGAATGTAAAAATTAGATAACATAAAAACTACAATTAATCAATACATGGAGTTATCACGCCATATTCTACTGAACATTGAAGACTCATCGATGGACATTATCTTACCTTTTCCAACTTTCGTTGTGTGTCTTTTGTTTCAACATTTTTCTTCTTTTTGGTAGGAATATCATCTGACTGGATACCCACAAGCAAAACATGAATATTATTGTGTGTACCATGAGCATCACTAACTTTTATTGTTTTATCTTTTTAGCTGCAATGCTATTTTTTTTCTAAATATGATGAACACAAAATGGTTCTAAACATCAATAGATATTTGGAAACCAAACAAAACTGTGTTAATTAAGAAAAACAACAAACTGCAAGGCACACCATCATTTGACGGGTAGACTGAGTGCACTGTATTTATATGTTCTAATAATTATCTCCCTTCATATAATATTCCCAACTTATGTACAATTATGTCATATGATGCAAGTTCTATAGAATACTCACCTCACTGTCTGAAGGAATCACTTTTTCTAAGACAGGAGCTGGTTTCCTTTTCTGCGTGTTTGCTATCTTCTTTTCATTCACAATTTTAGTAGGAGTGTTTGCAATCTGCATAGTAATAATTAATATTTAAATACCACAAAAAAATTGTATGTAACCATTGTTTT